AAAGACTCTATTTTTCCTAATCTTCCCTTCCAAAAAATATATTTCTTTTACATATTCTATCAAAGTTGGGGGGGGGGGCATGGCGCCTGCAGTTTTCAACATAAGTCCGCCGCTGAAACTACGTGTGGGTTCATTGATTTTTGCCAAAATGGCAGCCATACATGACACGATAATGATTCAAATTAAATCCTTAGGGCAACCAAGCATGTTTTTCTGCAGTTGGATTTCCATTTCAACCAATCGAAATCCTAATATAGATTTCATTTCTACCAAATGAAATGAAATGAGGGGGTATCTCAATATATAGTAAGTATTCGAGAGAGAGAGAAAACAAGCGAAATCACTAGTTAAGGAGTACTTCTTGCGGAGATCACTCCAACTTTCCCAAGTTACGACAAGTGGTGCGCTGCATGTGCGCCACTTTTCGCAACCTGGGAGTTTTCCCTTTTTTCTAGATCCGTTTATTGAAAATGTTTTATCTCTTAGGCTAGTCATAGTGGGTAGTAACTTAGACTAGTAACATGCATATGTTATTAGTCCATGTTACTACCATCACAGTGGGTAGTAACATAAGTGCGGTGTCATACAAGTCTTCATTTATTATGTTGTAGACTCATTTTGTATTGGGATGTGTTATGTTACGGTAACATACTATGTTACCACAAGCACCTCTCTCCTCATTAACTCCATGCCACATAAGCATATATATCTTGGGATGCGTTATGTTACTACCTAAGTTACTCCCACTATGGCCAGCCTTAAACCGTGCGTCCAAATCTCGAATCGCTTTCGCTGTTGGATTTCCCGCATCGAGATCTTCAAAACTAGATCATATGTTGATAGGTTTTGACGAAGTTTTTTTTCATGAAAAAAACTAGACGAAAAAACCGAACCGGGAGCATGGGTTGTTTCCCTTCCCGAAAGAGGCACGCCCGTGCCTTTGACAAAATCACAACCGTGCCTCTCGCGGAAGCAAAACCGTGCCTCTCACGAAAAAATAAATAGAAAACGCGTTTTTTTCGTTTCCAATGAGGCATGGCCGTGACTCTCGTGAAAGCACAACCGTGCCTCTCACGGAAGCAAAACGTGCCTTTCGCGAAAGAAAAAGAAAACAGAAAACGTGTTTTTTTCGTTTCTAAGAGGCACGCCCGTGACTCTCGGTAAAGCACAATCGTGCCTCTCATGAAAGAAAAAAAACAGAAAATATGTTGTTTTTTTTGCGCTGATAGTTGCGAGTCTTTCGAAGGAGTGCTCGTTAATTAGTTGGCTGTTAGAGAATCGAGCAGGCCTACTGATGGGCTTGTTAACGGGTTAGCTGCCCAAAATTAAGGCCCATAAAGCCCGAACTTCTCATCCAGCCGTGGATATGATGATAACAGCATCGAGTGTGAGAGGATAGCCCGCACTCCAACTGCCCAGACATGGCGCTTGCCCTCGCCTCCCCAATGGCGTCCCTCTCGCTCCACTCCGGGAGGATCTCTGCGCTGGCTATCGGCGGCGGTCTCCGCCCCCACAAGGCGGGCCCTATGGGGGCCTCCGCATCCCCGTTTCTCCGGAGCTCATTCATCTCCTCTTCCTCCACCTCCTCCGCCCCCACCTCCTCGCTCTCGGCTGCGGTCTCGGCGTCGCTCGCCTTCACGTCCGCCTCCTCGTTCGGCGGTGAGAGAAACTCCTCCTTCCCTTTGATACGAGGGAAATTCCTTATTGAATGTGTTCGATATGTTGGTACTGTTCCGCTAGTTTTATTGGGTTGAGGGGTTGGAGTTGGAGGGGAAAGTTACCTGCAATGGAAATCGCGGGTTTGAACCGTTGAACGGTAGAAGTGTGTAAACTATGGATGTTCCGCTGTTGCACAATGCCGTGGTGCTGTATAAGTACTATTCTTAGCTTTTCTGCCGCGCGCTCTGCAAATTCAATGACAAGAAGAGAGTCAAATATTCTGAAGACAGGGTGTGCCTGCATAGCTGTGGACTCCTTCACAACCCCATTTGACACTTACTGTGTTTGTCCAAAACTGTAAACAGAAGAATTTAAGCACTTCGATTTTGGTTTAGGTGTCGAGGGAAAATGTACCCCAGCAGGTATTCGCAAAATTAAACGTCTCCAGCATTTTGTCTGAAAAAAATATATGTTAAATTTCATTATTGTTGGACATGTTGGTTCATGTACATTGTGCGATGGAATCTACAATGTCTGGCCTGAAGGATGAGCACTCCTGCAGGCTGCAGTTATCTGAGAGCAAGCAAGTTCTGCATAAGTCGTCGTTGTCTTAGACCCAATTTTTGTTTTCTTGTCCATACTTGACTGAGAATGTTCATATTTATCTCTATTAAAAATAAAAAAAGGATGTTCATATGTCAAATATCTCTTTGAGTGAATATAAATTACTAAAATTGGAAATGTGCATGGCGGAGGGTTTATTTGTGTCATCCTGTCCTGCAATATCTACTAGTGTCAGTTTTTTTTAGGATGTGGTGTGACCCCTGATTTGTTAGACAATAGAAATTGCAAATTCTCACAAACAAGCTAGGGTTCGTGTTTTGTTAATTACTCCTCCGTAAAGAAATATAAGAGCATTTCTATCACTACTTTAGTGATCTAAACGCACTTATATTTCTTTATGGAGGGAGTAGAAGTCAAGTGTTAGGAAGAAATGGGATACAGCTAGTATATGTATCTGAATTTGAGGGCCTGAAGCCCTGAGTCATATAGACGATGGAAAGTCTCACAGATATAAATGTAACTCATGTTTTCTTAACTACTACTAAATTTTTTGGAAGTAACTGCACATGGCTGAACAACAGACTGATAATGTAGTAAAATGTCTACCACAGTTAAACAATAAACAGATAACTTCAATAAAGAAGACTCTCAAGCTTCAATACCTGCTCATTCTCAAGCAGTTGTGACCAGGTATGCTTCTAATTGCAGCACAACAATGTTATACTAAATGAACTAGCTAAGGTGGAAATGAACCAATGCAATATAGTAGAATATTTTCATACACAATGAAGTAATCTTCAGAGAACATCCAAAGGCAACTGATAGTTGATTTTGGAGTACGTTTGTCTGAACTTCTGTTTAGCAAATTTTAGATTTACGTGGAACAGCAATTGTGGAGACCATCAAGGCATTGAATTTAGCACTGCACGGAGTCGTTGGTTACTGAGGGAAATCACAAGTTCTTACTTGTAACGTGTGGTTTAGAGCTTCTCTTTTGATCTTTTACAGCATTTGTCTAATGATCAAGTATAGCGTTTACGTCGTTGTAACAAATAACCTTTTCATCCTTAATACAGTCAAGCTTAGACCTTATGCGTGTCCGTGAAAGGAAGAATTTGTGTCAAATCCTAGTGTTGGTTACATAAAACCCAGTATATATGATATTTCATCATCATGTATGCCAGGTTCATCTTTGGGAATTGAGTTCAGCTACAACAGATTAACAACACGCAGACCCCGCGGTCTACAGATTAGGGCTGGAAAGGCTGCCCTCTGCCTGACCAAGAGGTCAAGATCTAGGAAGTCACTTGCCCGTGTGCATGGTTTCCGAAAGCGGATGCGGACTACTGCTGGAAGAAAGGTTCTGAAGCGTAGACGTGACAGAGGAAGGAAGATTCTCTGCACAAAGTCGAACTCACCCACTGGGACAAAGTATTGATTACAGCGCAATGTGAGGCATTATGTATTCCAGCTGTAAGTTTACTCTTTTTGCACCCCATGTTCTCAGCCATGTTCATCTGTAACAATTGCTGCACATCTTTTCCCTGTACTTTGGTTAATAACTTGATATCTGAACTAAATTCCGACACTCGTGTAATTTATCCTTTTTGGTTGTGGCAGTCTTTAATGCTATGTTGTTTTGTGAGATTATATCATCTTGAGCACTGCATTCTATAACTTTGTAGGACCCCAATGCTATATATCACCCAAGTATTTTTTTTGCAGTAGGAGAAATCGATGCATACCTATAGCCTAACAGTTTTGGGAGCACCTCTTTGGTTGAACACTTCAGGCAGTCACTGGAATACATTTATCTCCTATGCTATCATGTACACCAGTACCTCCTTGCTCTTGGTTTAGTCATCTAGTGAATATGTTGACTGCCTGAATACATGGTGGCTCAAGACTGGCTAGAACCTGAATATGTAGGACTAAAACCAGTAGGCGTGAGAGAGGAGCAGCCTGTAGGCAAAGGGAACATGCCTAGCTGTTCGGTGGCCCCCTCTTCTTCACTTGCATGGGCAAGCCGCCCTCCATCCGTAAGGTCACGGAGAACACAGGCCCTGGCCGACTCTCGCCTCCGACGAACTGGAAGCTGAACCTCTCCAACACGCAGGCGGCGATGGACTTCATTTGTATGTAGGCCATCTCCTTGCCAAGGCACATCCTTGGCCCGGCATGGAAGACTGGGTACTTAAACGAGCTCTCCTGCCGGAACGCACCCTCCTTGTCGAGCCACCGCTCTGGCCGGTACTCTGCACAGTCGTCGCCCCATATCTCCTCTAACCGCGCCATGGCATACGCGCTGTAGGAGACCTGCCAACCTTTGCCTACAAATGTGCCGTCGGGCAGGATGTCGTCGTGCTGGCAGCAGCGCGAGTCCATGGCCACGGGCGGGTATAGCCGCATGGACTCTGTGACCGCTGCGTGCAGGTAGTGCATCTCACGCAGCTCGTCGAGGCTGAAGGCTGCATCCGCACTCCCGCTGGACACTCGCACCCCGCATATCTCGCGCACGATCTTCTCCTCCACCTCGCGCCGGCGGGACACGAGCCAGAAGAACCAAGTGAGCGCCGACGAGGTCGTGTCCCGCCCGGCTATGATGAAGCTGGTGACCACATCACGAAGGCTCTCGTCGCTGTGCTCGCAGCTGGAGACGAAGCGCGAGAGGAAGTCGTCCTTGCGCGCCAGCCCGGCAGCCCCCCTCTCGCTGCGATCACGGACAATCCTGTCGACATAGCCGTGGATCGTGGCGAGCGCCTTGCTCATCCGCCTCTCTGGCCCCATGTTGAGTAGCTTCTTGACCCGCCATGCCCACTTGACCGGCGACATGAACCGGGCCATGACCATGATCTGCGCGTCGTTCAAGGCATGCATGAACTCCGCACGCCCATTCACCCCCAGGCCGTCGTCGGTGAGGCACGCCGGGTCCTTGTCGAAGGCGACGCAGCAGATGTTGTCGAACGCGAAGCGCTCGAGAACGTCCTGCATGTCCAGCGTCAGGCCTTGTAGCTCCGCCCGGGAGAGCAGAGGCAGCAGCCGCTCGACGACCTCGAACCGGACGGTGCTGACCACGAAGTTTCTCAGCGAGCGCTTGCTGAACTCGTAGCTGGCGGCCTTGCGCTGCGAGAGCCACTGGTCGCCGTCGGAGTTGAAGATGTCGTGGCCGAGGAAATCCGCCATGGCGGACACCACGAACTCGCCCTTGGGGTAGTTCTGGAAGTTGGTCTTCACGATGTATTCCACATTGGCCGGGTTTGCTGTGATGGCACCGGCCATGAGGCCGAGGCTCTTGAAGTCGAAGACCATGGTGTGCGTGGGGCAACGAGCGATGACGCCAGCCGACCACTCGACGAGGCAGTCCTGGTTCTTGACGAAGTGTGGGAGCGTGCCGATGATGGGGTAGGCCTTGAGGCCGTCGGCGTGAGGTTGCTTCCTGGTGTTCCGACGTAGGCAGAGGACATATAGTAGAGGTAGGAGCAGGAGCAGGAGCATGGGTTGGGCCGAGGTCAACGAAAGCTCCATGGCCATCGAGATCTCAGGCTTGCCAAGTCCAAAAAAACTGTAGGAGTGAGTGGGGTGCTTGGAGGTTGGAAGTGTGAGCTGGGTGACTTTGAGTCTTTGGCTTCAGTAAGTCAAGGGCACTTGTAGATGAATACTGATTGGGCTTGTGCGAATGCGAAACCAACCAATCCTCAGAATACTGACGTCGGCGCTCAGGTGATCCCTGCTTCCTGGCAACTACGTATAAGCAAGTGAACCATCAACTAAAACATGACCAGTTTAACCAGACAAATCACTTGGACACAAACTGAACCATGAACAAATACTAGTCAATTTTGATGTCCACATCTTCGCAAAAACAAACTTACAATCCAGTGCTCTTGAATAGTTTAATGGTGCTTACATTTCCAAAAAAGAAAAGAAAAAAAAAACTGTCCCAGTCAGTTGATCTGCTACCTGATTCGTTCAACTGCAACCGAACCATAAACAAACACTGTAAACTGTGATACTCACAAGTGATTCGTTCTTTTTCTTCTGTCTCCAGCATCCACACGAGAAACTCATGAGTCGTGACAAGTTAGCTAGTTTGGATGTACGTACGGTGCACTGCAACCAAGCAGTCACGCGATAACGATGAAGAACTGAGCAATCTGGTGTTAATTTTCCTTTTTTTCCTTGTTCTGCTGCTGAGTGCCCTTCTGAACCCACGTCGATTTCACGCGCAGCGTGGCATTTCCTGCATAGATCACCTGTCATCTTCTCTCAGTGGCTAGCTTATTTCTCTATAATTTTTCTCAACAACAACAAAAATACTACTCCCTTCGATCCATGTTAATTGTCACTGAAGTCGTACTAAGAGGGTGTTTGTTTCCAGGAACTTATTGATAAGTCCGAGGAACCAAACAGGTAGGGACTTTTTAGGGACTTAGAGGGTGTTTATTTACAAGGACTTATTGGTTCAAGGACTTAAAAAAATCCCTATAAGTCTCATCTAAACCAAACAGGAGGGACTTATAGGGACTTAAAGTGGGCATTTGGGACTTATGAAATAAGACTTTCAAGGAGGGACTTATAGGAACTTATAGTTATAATATGGTCTTCTAGTCCATGTTAAGTCCCAGGAACCAAACATGTAGGGACTTTTTAGGAACTTGGGACTTATAAGTTGGGACTAAAAAAAGTCCTAAGACTTATGAACCAAACAGGCCCTTAGGACTTATAAGTTGGGACTAAAAAAAGTCCTAAGACTTATGAACCAAACAGGGCCTAAGTCAGCGACAACAATTACTGAAAGAAAGAGACTGATGAGAAGTGCTGCCCTCTTCGACCCCTCCCAGTCGGTGTAGCGTATCAATCTCGGTATGCCGTTGGGGCTTTGACACAAGACAATTGTACCAATTTCTTCTACTTTTCCGGTAAGTGATGTACTGATGTGTAGAAGTCGCACTGTACCATAACGTGTGGAATAAAGGAAAGATTATCACAAATAATGGAGTAGTAAGGAGAAGGTGACGGGAGAGGAAGGTTTATCCCCGAAACCTAGGGCTCTCTGGCGGCGCTAGGGTTCGACGTGGAAACCGATCGGCGGCCGCAGATCTCATCGGCGGGCCGCCTCCAGGACTCGGCAGGGGTGATGGCGACACCACCCGCGGCGGAGACAACGCAGGAGACCTCGGGATCGACCAAAACCAGTTCAGCGAGGGAGAAACTCGAGGAAGCTTTGGGGAAGCTAGACATATCCGAGGAAGAGGCGACTCCCCTCGTGATAGATGATCGCCTGGATGGTGCTCCGGCGAAGTGGTTGCTGGCGGGTAAGGTCCTGTATCGAAACCAGTATCATATCCACACCATCGGCAATGCTTTGAGACCGGCTTGGGGAAACCCTAGAGGATTGCAGTTCCGCTCGACTGGAGCAAACATGCTTGTCGCTGAATTTGAGTCTCAGCGAGATCGTGACAGAGTTTGGGCAGGATCGCCTTGGCACATCAACAAGAACACGGTCATCTTGGCCGAGTTTGAAGAGTGCATGCGCCCAGATGAGGTCAAGTTCGATCGCTTGCATGTGTGGGCTAGGGTTCTTAACCTACCCTACAATCTGAGAGATGATGCATGGAGCCCCCCAATAGCACGTATGATTGATAAGGAGGTTTAGATTGCAAAGTTTGATCACAACGGAGAATTTCTCCGAGCTAAGGTTTCGGTGGATGGCAACAAACCGCTCAGGAGATGGGTGCTTATTGACTCGGCAAGGAGGAAGAAGGTGTATCCCTATGAAATTCAATATGAACAAATTACATACTTCTGTTTTTCTTGTGGACGGCTGGGCCATTCGGATCTTTACTTCTGTAACACAGGCACTTGAGATGAGAAGGGAGAGCTTCCATTTGGGCCGACATTGCGAGCTCCTGATGATAACAGGTACCCAGC